TCCTTAAATTTGCTAAAGAGATTTGCAGTTGCTGAATATTCCTATTCTGAACTTACTGAGGTTGTGCTGCATACTATTTCGTCATTTAGTGGTATCATCAAATGCCCATTTTGGGACTGACGTTTATTTAGTAATTTCTTCTCTATGCGCTTAGACACCTGGGCTCATTTGCGGGGATTTAGGATTTAACAGAGGCCTTCTCCTATATTGAGATGAAGTGATATGATTTATCGTAAAACTCCACAACCAGTCTCTAAAACATTATAAGAAATAAAATACCTATTATACTATTACGGGTAGATACGAAATATACTCACATAGAAAATAAGTAGCGTCGTCGAATGCAAAGTTAGGTACATGTCTGCCTCATCTGCAATCCCATTTTAAAAGGTTTTACAAGCCTTGTGGCTGTGAAGTCCACTCATAGGATTCACAACTTACCTGTTAGCTATTTTAAAAGATTGTGGCATCTCAAAAATAAGCAAAATTTCACTGAATCCGATGCAGATTGCCTCAATGTCTGTGATAGCCTGAAAGAATCAAGGAGGCATTCGATAAAAGTATTTCACGAGAAATCAAGCTCCACTAAAGGCCGAGTTTTCTCCAAACTGAGATAAGCAATTTTTGCGAATTAAGTATTGTTTCCGTGACTACCAGTAAATCAGTAAAATGAGATGTATTCACCCAATTTAGGTTAAGGTGATGTAGGACTGGTAGAAGAAGAATTTTCCCACAATGATATGAGTTGAGCTGACGCAGTAATATTTAATGGAAACGTCAGCTCAACTCATATCATTCGTGGGAAAATTCTTCTTCTACCAGTCATTAATCACCTTAAACGAAATTGGGTGAATATATCTCATATTACTGAGATGAGTAAGTCTCACAACGCCATTGAAGTTCACTTATACTTGCCTGCCAAAAGGCGTTTGCATCTCGTCTGGACTAGAATGTAATTCAGACTTCGCCTGATTCTTATCATCAGCCCCAGAGGGAATCGAACCCAGGTGGTGTAGTGTGTACACTCGGCATGTTTCAGGTCTCTATCAAATGTATAGTGCGACTGCACAAGAGATAATTGTATTTTATCCTTACGAACAACTATACTACTTATATTCATGAGTAGGCATATATACTTTCAGTAGATATTCAATTAGGCGTTCGATTCCTGCTGGGAAGACGGCCTAAACTACAATCCGCCCTGACAGTAGGAAACACAAATTATCTGCCCCTCATCATACTAGGCAACCCAGGGTGACCACAGTCCTTATTCACGATCTACTGATGGTATCGCAACATAATCATTATGAATGTATAAACATCTTAACTTAAAGAGAGAGTAGGGTCGGCAAGTGACCACCAAGGTCTGAGGGAAATGCCATTGGGAATCACATCCACAAATTCTGAAGTTCACAAGTGAGGTTGACTAGGCCCTTTCGTATCTGCTTCGCAAGCAAGTCGAGAGGATAAGAATTGGGCTCACCCTGTTTGTTTAAGGTGATAAAGGAATGACAGTTCAATTTTCCCACATAGCTATGAGTTGGCCTCATACTTCCATTAAACTTCACATAGCATTGTTTTCTAAAATGTATTCTCGAAAGCCTACTTGTAAACAAAAATAAGATGATACAGTGCCCAGTTAATCATCTCAAGGCTGTAGTATTTGCGAATTTTTCTGTTGGAAAATATTGAGAGGAAAGATTTCCGAATAGTATGGTTGTTCGAAAAGTGGGCAAAAGTCAACATCTCACCCTGCTTGACTGAGTTCATTGTCACAGACCCGGCGCAAAGAGATGACATGTTGGAGGGAGGGCGTGGCAAACGAATGGAAAATATCGTTCAGCCCAGCAGTCCTGGCGGCCTGCGTCTCAGAGGGCGAGTGGATACCGGAGATAGGGATAGGAAAACCGTCGGCCATGCCGGTTTCACGAGATCGAGGGCTAATAAAGAAATAATGACAAAAATGGACAGCTAATGAAAATCAATTGCATAAATATAAATAAATAAATCTTTGCATCCAGATAGATCTTGTAATGCCGTTTCCCCCTCCGACCGACAATCAAAGATTTGTTTTCAAGCAACCCTCATGATTAAATGCTTTTCGGTACAATATTGTTCACAGTCAACCCTCATTGTTCAGCTCCATTGCCGGCTAATTTCATTCATATTAAGAACATTTCGTGCTAAAGCAAGAGTTCGTCTAATGCTTCGGTTTAAGGGTATGCAATCAACGACCAAGCCTTGACTGGTCTTGATTTTGCGAAAAAAAGTGTGTGGTGCATAGATCCGTACTAAAAGACGATGGTAAAAATTGCTTCATCTGCTATAGCCCGAGTTTACCGCAGCCCTCGAGGCAGTCTTCTTCGGTAGAAAGGTGGGAAAGTGTCGCCATTTCGTCTGTCCTACTCCCTAATGGAGCAGATTAGTAAGGCGCCTAAAAGATTACAAAGAGTCGAAAACTTCGCAGTCTGTATACGCACAAAATATGCACATGTGTGTGTGTGTTCGTGTGCATTAATTGGTATGATACATAGTAAAATATAAATTTTATTAAATATATATGTATGATGTGGTCACCTACGTGAGTGTATCTATGCGTGAAACTCCAAGTGCGGTGTGTATCAAGGGCAGGGCGTTACATACTTTGGAGGTACCAATGTCAGGGAAGCGCATTGCTATATTCGCATAATATCGGACTCACATCTTACCTTATTGGTAATCTTTCTATTGGAAATCAGATCACATCGAATCAGAAAGTGTGACTGTAATTGGAAGCGTAAACACTAGGACTAGCTGGGCCAACATTGTGATGCGAATTGCCCAACTCTTCTCTATGCCTGAGTTTATACATCAAGAATGAGTAGTTCTGACTAAATTTTCCCATGGACTACGAGTGAAAAGCTTAGTTTGCGCTTATCAGCGAACAAAACGATGCGCAGAGGCCATTCAATCTCATGTCTAGATTTGCAGTTTGCGATTTTGGAACTCGACTACACTTTGGTGAAGTGGTCGACCATTAGTTTGTAGAAGCGCGACTTTGATAAACTCACATTTCTCTCTAAAATTGGGCATTCTCAAAAAAGAGATCTCAAACAATCTTAAGCTGACTTAAATTCTCATCTATTGAGAACTATTTTGACACCAAATATGTCTTTTTAAAAAGAAGACGCAAATGCAGAAATATCACATGAGAAAGGTATGAAGAAAAAATAGGATTCATAGAATTTCCATGTGATATATTATGGCATGCCTTTTCATTTCGAAGGAAAAGTTGGATAGAAAACATCCGTAAGTTGGCTTCACCGGATACCGAATAAGGATTGTTGCGGAGGGAAAATTAATGAATTGTGCCAAGAAGTTCTCGGCTCATCGTCCTGCCACCGCAATCTATTTGGCAAATTTTGACATAAAGTATGATTTCTCATTCTGACGATATCTGCTGCAACAGAAGAGAAAAAAGCTTCGCACATGTTCAGGACGGTAGGCAGAGAAATAATTGACGCATCCAACAGATTTTTGCTCTTTCAAGACAATTCTCCTTCGTTTTCCAGCGAGACCAAGTCACGAATTTGTTAAAGCATCTTCTCTTTTGAAAAGAAATGCTATGCCTCAAAAATATGATAAAGGATGCCAGTCAGGACTAATCTCCTTCTTCACTTTTACTTCTATCAAACATATGCTATTTTCGATCGAGCTTAAGATACATTTATTATGAGGCAATGTTGCAAGGAAGCATTCAACTGGATTTGGCGCCAATCAGTCAGTCCGCCGGACCGGTGGCGGGAATTCCCGGTCTCACGGATGAACGAACGCTAAGGAGGCTGGAAAAATATAGCAAGTAGTTTTCGAGACTCTTAGTAATTCTTGAATGGGTACCATAATTTCGATAATGGTAGTCATGGAGACTATCATAAATTCTATGATATAAAACCCGATGGCTTGAGGCGATTTAAGTCATTTCTAATTCCTTGGAGGGGCCTGACGAGATTTAGGCGAGGTCGACGCTGTAATCAATCCTGGATTAGAAAATCTTATTGTAGACAAAGAATTTCATAATAAACTATAGAATCGAAAAATATTATTTGCAAAATTAAGTACACTCGTAGATTTATAAGACAATTATACATGAGCCTTATTGACGATCACTAAATAAGACTCTGATTTAAGAGAGGCCTGGCTTGCCTTGAAAGTCACATCTACCTTCTGTGCAACTGTCGACTAAATTTGTGAGGTGGAATGGTACCAGTTTCAAGTAAGGTTAATGGTGATAATAAAATGGTGGAAAGAGTAGAACGTGCATTTCGACCCAGCCGCGATAAGATAACCCTTTGGAAAGCAAGTCTAAGTAAACTTCTTCTAAATCTAAGAGCCAAGTTGCGTCATACTGAGAAAGAGATGAAACAAACTCATGAAATAAACAAAGTGGTACAGTTGGAAA